TGTCTGGCGAGTTTGTTGCACGGTGACTGCATACGCCTAAATGAAGATTTGAACCGTGGCTTAATTAGAATATAGTTTCCTGGCCAGAAGTCATCTGTGAGTAGTGATTGTGTAATTTGCTTCCATCCCCTGGACGAGCCAAACTAAAATATGTTAAAAGATGGTACTCGTTGTTACCCTCAAGCGCTCAGCATTAAGGGAATAATACAAGGACTGACAGGCCTGGAGTCAGTGTTATGTGTCTGAGTGGGGTATCCATGCTACACTGCAGCATATCCGAAGGTGAGCAGAATAAAACCGGCATACATTTAAGTCCAGACCAGTACAAGCTGCAAAGACACACGTGCATGCACGTCACTATATAAGTCAATAATCTTGAACGCAATGTTCAACCTCATCTCACTCTTATAAGCGAGAGACGAGGGAGATTCGTGGCCTTTTAGGACCTGGTTTATCCTTTTGCAAATGCCGATGAGATACCTATCAGAAAACACCGAGTTCATGCCAGACCCGTGAAGATTCGGGGTAAAATTATAGGTCTTCAGCAACCTACACTTGTCGTAAGAGGCGACCAACGGGATCGTGTTCGCTGACTTTTTTGATACATGTCATCGATCCCAATTGCGTGGACCGATGCGCATGATATCAATCACTGGATTGTCTGGTCCAGATTCGATTATTTACAGATCGCCGTCATATAGCTGGAATATTGCCGAGGGTGGCGTTAAACAACAAACAAACAAACAAACAGTGACAAACTATGGACATTGGTGAATGCACAGACGTGTATAATTGCTGCTGTCATATATTTGACTGTGTATATATGTACTGCCTTTTGTGATTGTAAACCAATAACTATGTATTTTAATATGAGTTGTTAATTATTGGCTTTGTGAGGATAGTTACTGTTTTCACTATTTAGTTCTGTTCGAACTGAAGACTGGGTCATTTCTTCTTTTCTATTTGCAGATCACCATGTAACAACATTACAATAGAGAGTATGTTTTTCATGGATACACATTTTTGTTGTATATTTCATTTAATCATTTATCTATTATAACTTCATATGAATGCGTTGTTTTTATGTATTTAATGTATGTTTCGCATGGTGACAGCATTGAGACTATGCAAAATATCCGCCTGTCTGAATCTGCGCAGTACCTACCCTCGTTTGAGCATGCATAGATACCAAGCTAGGAAGGATAAGATGATTATCAATATCACCGCCAACACAACCAGACCGATCATCCATGCCTGCAACCCATCACAGTTGGGATTATCTTTTGCACATGCGCAGTAGTATCTGTTGACGTCGTTGTAGCAGACGTACGGCCAGGAACATGGAGAGCTGCTTCACCCGTTGACGTCATCCTCACAATGAATCGCAGCCAGGTGCGCACGCACACTCGTAGTAGAGGTCAAAACCTTCAGCACGGCGGTAGATGGTGCAGTAATAGGTAATAGGAGGTTAATCAACCTGAGATCCCTACCACTCTATCCGGCCCGTGAAGATCCGCCTTACAATTTGGGCCTTCAGCAAACCTTACTTGCTATAGGAGGCGCCGGGGTATTTGACTTTGTCGCTTTGCTTTTGTTGAGGTCGTTCAGTTCCAAATATTAAAATAAAACACAACATGGCGGCAACATGACTCTATCTTGAGGTTATCGCCCTTGGGACAATGGATCCGAGTTAGTTTGGTTGACGCAGCTTTGAAGAGATTTTCAGTTCTATCAGTTATGTCATACTTGTCATACGAGGAGACTGTGCTTGTCGTGAGAGGCGAATAACGGGATTGGGTGGTCAGGTTTGCTGACTTGGTTGATGCATGTCATTGTATTTCAACTGCGAAGATTGATGCTCATAATGTCAATCACTGGATTGTCTTGTCCAGACTCGATTATTTACAGACCGCCGTCATATAGCGGGGATATTGCTGAGTGTGGCGTTTAATATCCGGGAAATCGACCGACTTAGAGGTGTATAAACAAAGTAGCCAGACTGGTGACAGGTATATTTCAAGTCGTTTAATGTGAACAGGATTTTTCCAGTAGCCGACGCTAATTGCTCTGACAACATATCTGACCATTCGGTTCTCTCATGGGACATTTCATTGTTTGTCGGGGGCACAGGTGGCCCAGCCGTCTAAGACGCCGCGATTCGCTATGCAGAGTTGCGTCCCTTGAGCATGCCAGCACCATACCCGTGCTCGTGGGTTTCAGCGAAGTGGTAAACGTCTGAGACCTGCATCACGTCGGGCTTTCCTCCCACAATAAGCTGACACGCCGTGATATAACTGGAATACTGATAAAAGCTGCGTTAAACCCAATTCACTCACTCACTCATTGCTTGTCTCTCACAACCATATAGCGCCCCTGCGGAAGTTGGATGTGGACAAGCCACGTCAAAACGATGAAGACAAGATAAGATATCAGACCTATTTTACAAGGGGAGAATCTAGCGGTTTAATTACAGGAAACTATTAATAGGGATGTTAATTACGCTATGATAATTTCTTGTCCTTTATGTAATCAGAATTTGATAAGACAGTCGGGCCTACTGCCACTGGCAGAAAGAATAACCGAAATCGTAAATCATTTTACAAACCCTATTGGTGTGATGAGCTCCAGTGCTTGTGGGATTTGTCATGTGTTTCTGAACGCCTGTGGTTGCAGTGTGAATCGACGCTAAGAAAGAAAGAACTGAAAAGTAAATTTAAACTTTGTAGGGGGAGATTTGACAAGACGTATCGGAAAAATAAGCGCTCCTTCCAAGCAACAGAACAACAGCGTTTACTGGACAAGTACAAAACACTCTCTCGAAATTTCTGGAAAGTTATGGGTAAATTGGGTGTGGCCTGTGAACGTGAGTGAGTGAGTATAGTTTTACGCCGTTTTTAGCAATATTCCAGCAATATCATGGCGGGGGACACCAGAAATGGGCTTCACACCTTGTACCCATGTCGGGAATCGAACCCGGGTCTTCGGCGTGACGAGCGAACGCTTTAAACTCTAGCCTACCCGTGGAAATAGATGCATACGGGGAGAAAAAATCAAGGCTTCGCAAGAAATAAATGCCTTAAATTTCTTGTCAAATACCTTGGGAGGTCCATGTACATGATGGTGGAATTTCGTCCGCAAGCAAGTCGGGTTAAATATATGGAAACCTATTTACACTTCGCTTTTTGAAGGATCAAATAACACAGATTTTGATAATGATCATTACATACTATTCATCAGGATCTACGTAATGACTCGGTTAGTGTAGGAAAGAGTTTGGACATCGCTTGTTTGAACTCGTGTATTAAGCATGCTGAAGTGGGGGAGGTTGGTTGGTTTGTTGTTTAACGCCGCACTCAGCAATATTCCATCCATATGACGGCGGTCTGTAATTAATCGAGTCTGGACCAGACAATCCAGTGATTGACATCATGAGCATCAATCACGCGATTGGGACCAAGTCAGCGAGCCTGACCACACGATCCCGTTAGTCGCCCCTACGACAAGCATGGGTTGCTGAAGACAACCCAGATCTTCACGGGTCTGATGTGGAGGAAGCTATTGCCTAATCTTTCTACAATTATTATTGAAGTCTTGTTTTGAGATGCACCGGTAGATGCCTTCGAAATATTACCAGGTCTATCAATTAAATGGCTTAAGAAACACGACCGTCGACGTTGCAGTATTATCTATATGGGAGCATCACCCGTTGCAACCCTTGAGGAGGTCCAAGTTAATAAAAGTGATAGCATGTCTCTTACTAAGATATTTATGCCGTATAATATACATTTAATAAGGTTGATGTATACTCTCAAAACATATGACTTGCTTGATAACGTGTTAGAACCTACACCAAAACGTCGCTCTTAATTGTAATAAAGAAGTTCTTCATCCATAAATTCTTATCCTTACTTACTACAAGGAAGTCTGGTGGGGGACTCTGGATATCTTTTCCGAATGCGGGTTCTATCATATACCACCACCTATAACAAGATATTGGAAAAGAATACAGACACCAGGAAACTGCCTACATTGCAAACAACAAGAAACACCAGAACACATACTCATTCACTGCACACACTACCAAACACACCGAACAACACTACAGACCACCCTAAATCTTAAAACCGCACTTACACTAGAATCAATCCTAAATCCACAAAATAAATTAGAAAAATTCAAAGCCTTAGGCATATACCTTATTAAAACAGGACTAATTAGTCGCATTTAAACGCCAAATAAAATATTAAAACCAAAACTACCTCCAATATAAGTAAGTCAGTAAGAATACAGACTGACATGTTCGCTGACTGTAGATAGGATATGTGATCGTAACAATAATCGGATATGCCCATGCATACAGGATCTCATTTGTGTTTGTGATTTTTACAACTGCCCCATGACCGTACTGAGTATTGGTGCTTGGGGATACCAACATTAACAGTTTGCTATTAGAGGTAATTGCCAATGAAGACTTGTGAACATCATTTATAAAGGATGTCTTAAGGAGTTTTAATCCTTTGTCTCTATGTAGGAAGTAACTCATCCAGTTTATGAATTTTATGTCATTCTTGTGTATGCTTATTTCAATATACTAGTATATTCATGGGTCTCTATATGCACTTTGGCATAGTGGGCACAGTGGGCACTGCAACCCTGATGGTGAAACGGCCTAATCCCTTAATCCTTTGTTGTTATAAGATCCAAATTCAGAAGTTGGCACAGTGGGGGTAACCCACTAAAACCCGTGTTTTTCTGTGACAAGTTCCAGCTTGTGACATTTTAGTGAACTTCACAAGTTACTTATTCATAGTATTAACGTTATGCTTTCTTCATCTATCCTCCACATATATTCAAGGAGTGTGGGAAAATATTATAAGTAATGTATTATGTTGTTTCCTTTTGTGATGATAGAGGAGCTTGCGAACTGCACAAATAACAACAAAATTAAGTGAATACCTTTGATTAAACATTATAACAAGAAGAAAAAAAGAAAATAAGAAAATATTTTATTTATGTGTCACATGTTGTATGTGTACACATTAGACATAAAAAAAACTTGCATAAAATACAAACAACATCAGGCCATGAAAGGCCTATGAGACAATGAACAATGGAACCCAATAGCAAAGGATTACAATTTTAGGTAAAGAAATGTTGCCTACGTGAAAACATTTTTGAAATAAGTGCGGCAAGAGGTTTTATATAACATTACTTTTTACCACTCGCGACGCCGAATAGGTATTTTGCATCAGTGAACTTCCACACGAACAACCAAGGAGAAGGGATAAGATGAGAAGCGGTGGAAACTCACTTTAAATAACAGTTACATGTGATCGAACAGGTTTATGTCTTTGAGGGGAATTTAGAAGTTGGAACAGTAATGTGTGTATGTGTATTAATAGTGAAAACAAAACATGGTTAAGAAAAATACATTAAAATACATTCATTCAGTAGAAGTGGCATGGAATTAGTTGAATACTGGGACATTTTGTTTCAATAAGCTGTTACACACTGATAGTTTCTCAACCAGAGACTAGTATATACAGCACAAAACAATTCCTTTTTAACACGTAAAAAATCACCAAATCTATAAGGCAAAAGGGCTATTCATTTCTATCAGGAATAAATTAATGCGACGAGAGAGCATATGACGGTTTTGGCAATTGTTGCAAGCGACTGGAGCGTGTAAACGCCTCATGTTATATTCGCCAGAAAAATCTGCCGCTTAGTGCATGGGAATCAAGGGCAGATAAATATTAGGCCATATATCCGCAAGTGAGGGTACATAATAATATAACTGCCACTGGCAATTTGGAGGGAAATTATTATTTTGTTCAAATGTAGTTTTGTTGTTATTTTGTTAACATCAAAGGTATGTTAACATTGATTTTTGATATTGTATTGATGGCAATAATATTAAACGAAGGATTAAAAATCTTCCTTGTTATTGGTCCCGTTATCAGTGACTTACATGTTATCTCCACAAAGCCATGACATTAGTTATTTCTTATATACTGATATGAAGTTGAATTGTTTTAGTACCTCACATCTCGGTGCCAAAATGCATATGTTTGGGAACAATTTCTCTGTTTACCATTAAACTTCATCCCTCTCACAGGAGTGCCGGATATGGCCTGAAAAAGCTCCAGCTTTTCCGCATCATCAAGTATCTGGCGAGTGGACACCTGTGTGGAATAAAATGACATGTCGAGAAGCCCAAAGCGAATCTGGAACACCAGTTCCCCGAGAACTACCCTCATAGTAGAATCTTGTACATGCTTGCTTTGACGTTTACATTCCGCTTCTGCCCAGCGAAGCATTGCCTCGAAGACGATTCTTTCCTGGCAGGCCAAAGAGTCGGAGGAAATGACATCTAAGACGCATGCCCGCGAGAGCTCATGGAATCCGTCTGTTTGCAACACAGTAGCCCCCTGTTGGTGAATGAAGGAGAGACAACTCTGGTACAACTGCTGCTCGTCAAAGAAGTGAGCTTGTTCCAACAAAGAACACACATTGTCGACAGACATCGTCTGCTTTACAAAGTCCACGCACTTGGTCAGCAGAGACTGGACGTTGTACTTCTTACAGCAGTAGAGGACGGAGAGTACGTTGTCTGAGTCAATGAGTACCTCGTCACAGTACAGGTAACTGAAACAGAAATAACTTACACTACAAATTGTATTTCTTGTTCTTCTAGGCATTGATTTATATACAGAGATTAAGATTGTCGTGTGCATTTTCTCGTATACTGAGCCGGAAACAGCGATCAGCTGTTCACACGTTTTCTCTCCATCTTCCGGTGATTCGGTTAAAAATTACACAATAATATAATTTCAAAGAATATTGATGAAGAATTGTATCTGAAACTATCACTTTATGTAAACAATGCAATATTCAATGAAATTTAAAAGAAAATAGGTTACGATATAAATATATAGATATAATTAGTATTATACTGAAACGCTAAAGAAACGTCACCTCAAGTACATGTAACATTGCATGAAAAGTTGTCATTTAAATATCCTGGTATTTTTTGTCAAAGTTTCTAAAATTTAACATTACCTTGTCAGGAAAAATGAAATTTGATGATAAAAAAACAAAGCAGATGACAAAAAAACCGATCGCCCAAACGCATCACAGCAACGGCCATGGTAACCCGATTCACGTGAGTTGAAATGCACATGCGTTCCCCCATTTCTTGCCCTATAAAAATCCACCCAGATCGGATAGCATTCGTTCGTTATTGAATTACTACTACATTTGCCAAGATTGACGAGAATTCTGCGACACCAAGCCCTTGGATGATTGTAAGCTGAACAAACCGCCCGGCAAGTAGCCAATGCATTTGAAGTCCACTTAAGGACCACATACAGGCTCCAGCAACGGTACCAGACCATTAACACTACAGATGACCGACCACGTAGTGGAAGGCCAAGGGTCACCACCCGACGTCAGGATCGTCAGATTGTGCGACAGCATCTTCAAGATCGCTTTGTTACTTTTTTCGGAGACTGCTCGACAGACACATTAGTGCGGACACGGCGCGTTGACGAATGACGACCAGACACCTCCACTGTCACAGGCCACATCGAGGTCCCATTCTGACACCATGTCATCGCCGGGACCGTCTTCAGTGGGCAGCAGAGCACCACCATTGGCGCCACCAGCAGTGGAGAAGAGTCCTCCTCTCAGACGGGAGCCGTTATTGTATCTCAACAGATGGCAGAGAGAGAGTCTGGCGATGCCGCGGGGAACGTTATTAGGATGCTTGTGTTGTTGAGAGAGACTCGTGGGGTGGTCCGAGTATCATGATGTGGGGTGGAATTGGTCTTGAGGGTCGGCCCTGTGGTCTTCCAGAACATAGGTCCAGGGAGAGGCAATGGAGTCACAGCAGCTCGGTACACGCCATACCTCATTTGGCACGTCGCCGCAACCACGAGTTTCAGCATGATAACGCCCGTGACTACACTGCGAGAGAGACTTCCTCCAGCAGAATGGCATCACAACCATGCATTGGCCTGCCCTCAGTCCCGATTTAAATCCCATTGAGCACCTGTGAGACGAGAGTCAAGGACGACTGAATGACGCCCGAGCAAGGCAGACAACTGCAGCTGAACTACGTCAGGTGTTCCTCGGAGTGTGGGCTCAAGTGCCTATGGCCTACATCAACCGCCTCATCCATCCATTAACGACGTTGCACGGCAGTCATCAATGCAAATGGCGGACACACGAGATACTGACTTGAGATGCCATTTTCTCAGAGACTAGTGTTGTGTTTTACTTTTAGAACATTTGACACTTTAATTTCAACCTTGATGATCAGTTTTGCCAAGTTTCATCTTTTTAATATGTCTCAAAGTATGTTTACAGTGACAGATATTCACTATACTGTTTTAATTTGTTATTCATATGAATATATGATAAACATTTCCTCCAAATATCTCATATGTTGGTAATCTTTCATTTGTATAGGGCTGTTCCACTTTACACTCAGGTGAACAGGTAACACATACTAGTGCACTCAACCTTACCTTATCCCGCCTGACAACTGGACCGTCTGACAATTTGGCCGTCTGACAATTGGACCGTCTGACAATTTGGCCGTCTGACAATTGGGCCTTCTGACAATTGGACCATCTCATAATTGGACCGTCTGACAATTTGGCCCTCTGACAATTGGGCCATCTGACAATTGGGCCTTCTGACAATTGGACCGTCTAACAATTGGGCCTTCTGACAATTGGACCGTCTGACAATTGGACCTTCTGACAATTGGACCGTCTGACAATTGGGCCTTCTGACAATTGGACCGTCTGACAATTGGGAGGTTACTTATGTAAATGCTGAAACACATTTTCATTTCTAAAGAATTGAGACCGATCATACCGTAAGAAAGTCTTGAATGGTCCCGGCTCTATGTCAGGAACATCCACGTCAGCACCTTGGGGCACTGACCCATTGAACATGGTGAAGAAGACATCACTCCTGGAACTCAGCACATACTTGTGGGCACCTACCGGCCTCTTTGACTGCCCGACCTTAAACTTGACATCACATGCAAGCTGTTTCTTAAACATCCGTCGGTTACATCCGATGATTGTGTCCTCAGGGTTGTGAACAGTTGTACCTCTGAAAAGATGAATTTGAGAATGTTATAGTGTATGTTTAGTATATAGTATAATACCATAACAGTGTGCCACATACTGTACCACTCAAAGGGACAATGTGTCCCAAATCATGCATGCTAGGAAATGTACGTGTTATCGGAGGTCCATTTGACCAACGTTTGATGTGTATGTATCATGTGGACTCGAAATTTACATTTACATAAAAAATGTATTACGCGAGTCCTGAAATAAAAGAGCATTCAAGTGAGAGAGGTGTAGGCATATTGAAAAATCCATGTGGCAACCATCAAAGCAAAACTCGATGTCCACTATGGGTTTCTGGTCCGAGTCGCTTGCTCACCTCTTTGGTGTCCCACCTCACGCCTGGCTTTGAATGTAATCCCCTCTTCAGGAACCATGATTCCTCCCCATGCATTTCTTTGTGATCTGCTGATACTTCCTGAAACAAATATTTGATAAGATGTAACTAATTCGTCGTGGGTTAAGTTTATAAAGACGTTTTATACATCGACGATTGAATGACTAGAGCAGCTTGCCCGCATTTGAATATGGCATAAAAGACGTAGCCGGTGATTCAACCATTGGCTTTTGTACACCGTACACGACGAGAGGGTAACTTAAGTTCTGCAATTGTTCACCTTGCACGGCATTCCGCTAGCCATTGTTGAGGGTACTTCATATTCCAATCTACTATTGTTGTCTGATGTACACATTTCAAGAAATATGGCTGAACCATTGATCCAAATGGTTAAGGACCCAATGTTTAATCTTAACAAATTGCTGTAAAATATATATATTCAACGGAAAATACAATATTAGTTATGGTGTCTTTAGTTGCCGTATACGGTGTCATATTAGGTTAGCAGAAAAACCATTGGGCTGATGCCTCGACCAATATTTTTCTGCTAACCTAATATGACACCGTATACGGCAACTATATATAGTCTTTATTCATTAGGTATTGTAGGCCACAGGCCCATTATACATTACAGAATATACAGTGAGAGAGAAACATTAGAATACAAAAGTAAATGTCAGGTGATTTAAACAAGACGTACTTTCATTGCTTTGTAAATGAATACGGATAGATTTTGAATGATTAATACATTATTTGATGCCATTAAAATATTAAACGTATGTATGGAGGGGTACAGGTAAAACTTTTTGGGTAAATATTTTCGTCTTAAATGTACATATTGATCAAAATTTATTATAAAATGAAATTCATCTTCAATTTGATTTTGATTGCAAGCCAGACACAACCTTTCAGATTTTAACTTTTTTATACCTCCCAGTCTCAGTTCGGAGCATCCAAATTGCGCAAGGGCACTTCTATATTTGAAAATTGATAATTCTTTTTGATATGTTTTTAAGCCGAAATTTAATTTGTTTTGCATTAACTGTAAAGAGATGATTTTGAGCTTGATGAAAGAGCTGCATGCCAATTTTGTTCATAAGATAATTTTAGACGGAGCATAATCTACACCAGAAAGCTGGAGATATTATTTATAAATTATTGTTCCCATTATAACCAAAACCAGAAGAAAATAGGATGTGTTTTACTTTTGATGCCCAGTTAGTTTTACCATTACTACAGTCTAACAATAATAAGTTATAACATTTCTTTACCAAACGTGATTCAGGCATATTAATTATTTTCCACCATTACTTAACAACACATTTAAATGCGAATATGGACATTGAGCATCTTCCGCATTCTCCTCTGACAACGTGGTTTGCGGATGACTGCTTAACACATACAAATCTCTTACAGGCAAACATTTGTACAACCTCTATTTCTTCGTAATGATGAACACCCCACACTTCAGAGCCATACAATAGAATTGGGTAATGAATTTTATATATATATGGATTTAATAATTCCACACAGAACCGTTTTTCCTGAGTTGATGCACTATTAACATGAGCAGACCACAGTAGTCATCTAGAGAAGAATAATCCCAAGTATTTGTAACATGAAACACATGGTTGCTTCCTTCGACTCGGATTGTTAGAGCAACAACATAGTCACCACACACTGTGTAGCACATCCTTACAATCATGTACGTGTCGATGGTGAGTGAGTGAGTGAGTATAGTTTTACACTTTTAGCAATACAAAATTGGTTTTCACTTTGTATCCATGTGGGGCATCGAACCAAGGTCTTCGTGGTGACGAGCGAATATTGAAATCACTAGGTCACCCGCCCTAGCGATCCATATGGCTGCCATAGAGTGACTTTCCTTGTAAATTGCGCAACTGTCTACACGTACCTAAACACATGCTGATCTTTCACTTAGTACATGAAATGTATTTCTAAATAGACTGCAATATCGCAAATCTTACCTTTAACAAATATGTATAACCTAAATATCAACCCATGAACTATACCACAATAATAGACGCTCTAGCTGAGAGACGCGATTGGGTCCTACAGTAAAGACACTACCCTACATTACGTGATTTAGTGTCATGTCTTAACTGTAGGACCCAATCTCGGTTCTCGGCTATGAACGCTCGTGCATGCTGTCGTTTGATAGATATTGAATGCGTTACAACCCATACCTTGCCCACGTTGAGCTGTTATCCCAAAATCACCATCCATACTTGTGGCAGCCGCTATTCCGTTGAACCGAAAGTAGATTTCAGGGAAATACTCACTGCTATGGTTAGGGAGCGCTAATTGTGTTTCCTTTTTGCATAACGTGCGTTGATCGATACAGGTGACACTGACATGCCGTGTTTCCGCGCATAAACGCGCTCAGGGTTTAGCCTTGTGGAAATATGTATGGAGTGGGTACTTTGTTACAATCCCAATTTGTGTATTCACGTACTTTATTTAAGAAATAAACGACAAGCGGGAGCTGCTTATCGTACAATAAAACAGTGTTTGGAGAAGGAACCACGAGGGGTTGCGTGGTTTATTCTTCCTGTAGTGTTTTATTGTATGATAAAGAACGACCAGGAGTCGTCTATTTCTTATATGATACATCAACATTATTTGCAGTCTCTTTAATTTCATTTACAAGCACAAAAATACTTACCCGTATATTTGAATAATGATGCCTCCCCGAATAAAATCCAATCCCGGCAATGTCGGACAAGTCCATTTTATAAACAGGGAACTGTGAAATGAACCCCTCGTGTTTTCTCACTGCAGTGTTTTATTGTACGATAAACAACTCCCTCCCGTCGTTCATTTCCTGATTATATCTCGCCTACTTTTAGATGCGGTCGTTCGGCCATTGCGTGTATCTGCGTAGCTCAGCCACGACTGAGGGGAACAGCCCACTACCCTCTCATAAATAGCATCGTCTAATATTCATGACGTATTCAAGTTGTGAGCGTATGCTCGAATGTATGGAAATGACGTTGTGATAGAAAAATGTTTTATCATGAAACAAAGCAATCCTTGTTCTTCATTCGTCTTTGCGATTATTCTAGTAGCTAGTTTATATTATGTGTAAAGGTGGTCAGTATCAGTGCGATATTTTAGTAGCGCTTTATTGTTTCTCCTCGTTCGTGGCTAGTATTTTTTAGCTCCCTTGGGGTATGTAGCGAGTACCATGCTTTTGAGAGAAAGGCTTTTGTTTATCCGCATTCCGTCAAGATGTTTTACGGATTTCAGGGGATTGGATAACTGTGATTCTCTATATTAGAAATTCTGTAGTATAAACATCAGAATACTCAGTTTCTCTGTTCAGAGTTATAGAAAACATTATAGTAAAACATCTATTGAGTGGAAAGAACTTTTACCGAGAGTAAGTTGTATTTCAATAGTTTCAGCATTGATATGAATATCGACAATATGAACAATTGTAATGATGATTTAAGCAACCGTGCGGCTAAACCTACACAATAATACACTGATTATAAGATTGAACTATGTGTGAAACGTTTCAAATTTGCACCAGCTGCATTGCGTCGGCAGGCGAGTAGCGTCATGAAATTAGTATCTGACAGTGTGGACATATCTGAACTGCGTTCAGTTCGTGATTGTTTAGAAGACCGTATGGCAATTGTGTGTAGTGAACATGGGAAACTAACTGAATTCAATTATTCTGAAGAACACTTGCTTGCAAAATTTGACGAGATTGAATCAAACATTTTGATTTAATTAAATCCGTGAGTGATATCTTTCATCCAGAGAGGCCCCATGTTCTGGCTCCTTGAACGTTCGCTTTGACGTCTAAGCTGTGGTCTGTTGGACAGGGCTGGATATAGCCTTGTTCAATGGCTGAAAGAAAAGTCCATGGATTTATAGTAATTATATCCTCCTATTAGGCATGTCTAGATATGTGGATACTCTGTGAACTTGAATTTGGTTTGAGTGAACGGAAATTCGCTGAAAGACTAAGTCATCAAAAATGTCGAATGTGTCAAAACTGTATGAGACCAAAATTGCTGCTACGGCCGAAGCTGAAGCATTAAAGACTAAATTGAAATTTCTTGAAGTTGAAAATCAAAAGAGAGCTGAGCTTGAAAGGTGTCAGATTGAATTGAAATTATCTATGGCTATGGCACAATTAGAAGCTGTAGAGAAATTAGAAAGTGACGCAAATGAGGATTCTCTTCGTTCTGCTTTATTTCCGGATGGAAAAAAACCATGTTTGTACAAGATTATATTGACTCAGTTAAGGTTAAAAATCATACACAAAGTGAAATTAAAGCTCCACATGAGTCATGTGTCAAAAGTGACATTGTGAATGTAGACAGAATCTGTTCCAATTAGAAACGTTCATGTCTCTCAAAATCGTACTCGTATTCATAGTCGCCGTAATCTCCAGTGGGCCTGATAGATCTGTGGGGAAGGTATCGCTGTTTACCATTAAACTTCATCACGCCAACAGGAGTCCCGGATATGGCCTGAAAAAGCACCAGCTTTTCCGCATCATCAAGTATCTGGCGAGTAGAAACCTGTGTGGAATAATATGACATGTCGAGAAGCCCAAAGCGAATCTGGAACACCAGTTCCCCTAGAACTACCCTCATAGTCGAATCTTGTACATGCTTGCTTTGACGTTTACATTCCGCTTCTGCCCAGCGAAGCATTGCCTCGAAGACGATGTGTTCCTGGCAGGCCAAAGAGTCGGAGGAAATGACATCTAAGACGCATGCGCGCGAGAGCTCCTGGAATCCGTCTGTTTGCAACACAGAGGCCCCCTGTTCGTGAATCAAGGAGAGACAACTCTGGTACAACTGCTGCTCGTCAAAGAAGTGAGCTTGTTCCAACAAAGAACACACATTGTCGACAGACATCGTCTGCTTTACAAAGTACACGCACTTGGTCAGCAGAGACTGGACGTTGTACTTCTTACAGCAGTAGAGGACGGAGAGTACGTTGTCTGAGTTAATGAGTACCTCGTCACAGTACAGGTAACTGGAACAGAAATAACTTACAATACAAATTGTATTTCCTGTTCTTCTTGGCATCGTTTTTATATGCAGTGATTAAGATTACCGCGTGCATTTTCTCGTATAGTAAGCCAGAAACAGAAATCCGATGTTCACACGTTTTCTCCCAATCTACTGGTGATTCTGTTAAAAATTACCCAAGAATATTACTTCAAAGAATATTGATGAAGAAATGTATCTGAAACTATTACTTTATCAGGATTAATATATTCCAATATCATGTTAACTTAGTTGCAGCTCTGCTATTTATATTTCAAATAATGATAACCATAACCGCAGCTTTGGTACAGTGATAACTATTGCCAGATGTTTTACGTATGGAACAATTTGTCCAATCATCGTCGAGTCGCTCGCGAAAACTTTATATTGACATATAATAGTCAAATTAAAACAAATATGATTTTTGACGAGTCAAATGAAAGCATGTGTGATATATGTCTCAATCCTCTGTCCACTTTAGTTCGTTGCAATGCGTCAGTAGTGGTAATCTGACTGTGGTTGCTGTAAATAACGGTGAGTTGTGTAATCTACTGATATTCAATATAATGTTTAAATTTGTTATTCATATGAATATATAATAAACGTTTCCTCCAAATATCTCATATGTAGGTACTCTTTCATTTGTATAGGGCTGTTCCGCTTTAAACTCAGGAGAACAGGTAACACATACTAGTGCACTCAACCTTACCTAATCCCGTCTGACCATTGGACCGTGTGACAATTTGGCCGTCTGACAATTGGACCGTGTGACAATTTGGCCGTCTGACAATTGGGCCGTCGGAAAATTTGGCCCTCTGACAATTGGGCCTTCTGACAATTGGACCGTCTGACAATTGAATCTTCTGACAATTGGACCTTCTGACAATTGGACCGTCTGACAATAGGGCTGTATAGGGCTGTTCCACTGTAAACTCAGGAGAACAGGTAACACATACTAGTGCACTCAACCTTACCTAATCCTGTCTGACCATTGGACCGTCTGACAATTTGGCCGTCTGACAATTTGGCCGTCTGACAATTGGGCCGTCTGACAATTTGGCCCTCTGACAATTGGACCGTCTGACAATAGGGCTGTATAGGGCTGTTCCACTGTAAACTCAGGAGAACAGGTAACACATACTAGTGCACTCAACCTTACCTAATCCTGTCTGACCATTGGACCGTCTGACAATTTGGCCCTCTGACAATTTGGCCGTCTGACAATTGGGCCGTCGGACAATTTGGCCCTCTGACAATTTGGCCGTCTGACAATTGGGCCGTCTGACAATTGGGCCTTCTTACAATTGGGCCGTCTGACAATTGGGCCTTCTGACAATTGGACCGTCTGACAATTGGACCTTCTGACAATTGGGCCTCCTGACAATTGGACCGTCTGACAATTGGGCCTTCTGACAATTGGACCGTCTGACAATTGGACCTTCTGACAATTGGACCTTCTGACAATTGGACCGTCTGACAATTGGACCTTCTGACAATTGGACCGTCTGACAATTGGGAGGTAACTTATGTAAATGCTGAAACACATTTTCATTTCTAAAGAATTGAGACCGATCATACCGTAAAAAAGTTCTGAAGGGTCCCGGCTCTATGTCAGGAACATCCACGTCAGCACCTTGGGGCACCGACCCATTGAACATGGTGAAGAAGACATCGCTCCTGGCACTCAACACATACTTGTGGGCACCTACCGGCGACTTTGACTGCCCGACCTTAAACTTGACATCACACGCTAGCTGTTTCTCAAACATCCGTCGGTTACATCCGATGATTGTGTCCTCAGGGTTGTGAACAGTTGTGTCTTTGAAAATATGAAGTTGAGAATGTTATAGTGTATGTTTAGTATATAGTATAATACCATAACAGTGTGCCACATACTGTACCACACAAAGGGACAATGTGTCCCAAGTCATGCATGCTAGGAAATGTACGTGTTATCGGAGGTGCATTTGACCAACGTTTGATGTGTACGTATCATGTGGAAATTTACATTTACATAAATGTATTACGCGAGTCCTGAAATTAAAGAGCATTCAAGTGAGAGAGGTGTAGGCATATTAATAAATCTATGTGGCAACCATCAAAGCGAAACTCAATGTCAACTATGCGTTTCTGGTCCGAGTCGCTTGCTCACCTCTTTGGTGTCCCACCTCACGCCTGGCTTTGAATGTATCCTCCCCTTCAGGAACTTGATATACCCATGCATTTCTTTGTGATCTGCTGATACTCCCTGAAACAAATATTTGATAAGATGTAACTAACTTGTCGTGGGTTACGTTTATAGAGACGTTTTATACATCGGCGATTGAATGACGAGAGCAGCTTGCCCGCATTTGAATATGGCATAAAAGACGTAGCCGGTGATTCAACCATTGGCTTTTGTACACCGTACACGACGAGAGGGTAACTTAAGTCGCTGCAATT